ATAAGCCAAAGGAAGGCTCAAGTTGAGATATCTCTAGAAAATGAAGAGAAAAAGAATATGAGTAAATGTATGACAAAATTAATCCCTTGATTCGTCCTCATAAGGTTGAGGGTTTGGTGGTCAAGGAAGTGCAAAGTGTGAGAGTAAAGCCGATAAGATTCCATTATGGTTCCACTTCTTATAGTTTTGAAGTTGATGTAAAATTAGAAGAGGAAAATTCTAATAAATTAATAGAAATTCCTATGGAGTGGTACTTCTCATGTGTCAAAAAACTTGTTCGACATGGTTTTGTTCTTAAGAAATTGTTAAGGGATAAGTAACACCTTTTCAAAGAGCTATGGAACAGTAAAAATTAAACTTTTAATTCGAAATAAGTTGTTGGATTCGACACAATAAGGCCAGCCAATGATATGGAATTTTGGCTAGTTGTCACTAATGAATCAAATGCAGATTGTCTCAAAGCTATAAACAACTTTGAAAAGCCTTCAATAGAAAACGCTCCTCCGAAATTTGAAGAAGAAATGAAATAGACAATCGACGAACTAAAAGAGGTTAACTTGGGAAATAAAGAAGAGCTTAGACCTACTTTCATTGGCTCTTTGATGAATGAAGAAGAAACTATAGACAGGATCAAGCTGTTAATGAAATACAAATATTGCTTTGCTTGGACTTATGACGAGATGCCTGGTTTAGCAGCAGAGGTTGCCGTTCAAAACTTGGGAACGATCAAACTATGAATCTGGTCAAACAAACTCCTAGAAGAATGTGCCCCCAAATTGGGCAATAGGTTTTGGTCAAGGTCAAGAAACTAATAGACACTAGCTTCATGTGAGAAGAGCAATATCCCACAAGATTGGCCATCATAGTGATGGTCAAAAAGAAGAATGGTAAGATTTGTGTCTGTGTTGACTTCAGAGATTTGAACAAAGTATGCCTGAAGGATGAATTTTCATTGCCAATCCTGGAATTAATGGTAGAAATTGCATCATCGCACGTGATCTTCTCTTTTATGGATGGATCATTCAGATACAAATAGATCAAGATGCCACTAGAAAATGCTACACATACAACTTTCAAAACACGATCGGAATATATTGCTACACAGTGGATTCATTTGTATTAAAGAGTGTTGAAGCAACATATCAAAGGGCGATGATGAGGATTTTTGATAACCTCATTCACAGGCAAGTGGAATACTAGGTGGATGACTTGATAATCAAAAGTAAATAGAAAGAGACAAAATTATATGATTCGAGAACATAAAATATTAATATATGAAAAGACATGCATTTATAAACTGAACAAATAAGGAGTCCAATTTTAAATTACACTTTTAACTATAAAACATATATTGTAAGAAACTCATATAGAATTTGAATAAAAAATATTAAGTAATTTGTTGGATGGTACGCTTTAGACCTTTGCTCTAGCTTGATGATAGAATAAATTAGAGGCTACGAATAGAATTTCTTGCTTGAGAGTGGTGTTTTGATTTTTTTCACCATCTTTTCAAGTTTTTATAGATGTAATATAACTTTTTCTCCAGTTATCGCTCTTCTTGAAGGTTTTCAAAGCCATCAACAGGTGCATGATATCACCAATCTTAGACATAATGTCAACAAATTAAGAATCAAGCTCTATTTTCAACATTGCCTGCAAATGTATTATTCATACAAGAATGGAGTAGAATTTAAAAAACAAATGAGAGAAAACAGAAGAAATTATACTAAGAAATTTTTGTAGTGTATAATCATTGATTTGTTTTCCTACTGAGATTAGAAGTAATAGAAAATTTACTACTTTAATACTCAAAGAATTTTTATTATAATAATAGAGTAAAATAACTCCTAACCAAATATAACTCTAGAACTTTATTAATGTAAGAAATAATTCATAAAAAATTATTAGAAAAAACTACACATCAAATAGATCATTTATAATATTATATCAACTAATTTTAATTATTATATTAGGCTATTATTGGTGAATTATTTTCCTCTACTAATTGATTAAATGTTTATATGAACAAAATTGTGAGAACAGACACCAATGTTTTCTACATTGACAAATGTTTTATAAGTTTTTTAATTATTAATTTAATCATAAAGTTCACCAAGTTATAAATACAATATTCAATATAAGGATATTCAAAAATTGAAATTCTCCTAAAAATAAATAAGATTAAATTTTATGATGATAATCTTCCAAAAATAACATTTGCACGCACAAGATTTTTCAACCCAAAAAAGAAATCAAAATATATAGCCAAGAAAAAAATAAGTGTAAAAATTACTCCATATAGTGAAAACTTGGTATAAAATAATTTTTTTCATATTTTTGGATGATGTCAATCGTTATTTTCTCTATAGCACTACCTGAAAAAATATGTTAATATGTCAATCATTAACTATTTACTTTAGAGTAAATATGTACAAATGGAGACGATCAACCACTTTAACAAATGAGATTGAAGTCCTGTTATAATATAGTAAATCTAAAGTGTCCCTCATAACACTTTTTATGGAGGATAATATTAGAACTCCCTATAGAAGAACTTAAAAGCTCGTGAAAGGAAAAACATAACACTTACTCAAAATAATATCATGTCTTTTTTTATTGAGTATCAATGCATGTTAAACAGGAATTACACATCCTCTATATAAAATAATCTCAACCCTATTTTAGGAGATGAACAAGAACCTTCTAATGAAAAATTTTCCGCAATGAGTTTTGTCCCATATCGATAGAGATATTTATAGCTTGGAAAGATGAGAATGACCAATAGGAATTTTAAAATTTTCAAAAATTTTTGAAGAATTGTTTATAATGTTATTCAAATTTTTGCAGAAGGAATATCATTTATTTTATTTATTTATTATTTTCATTCTTTACAATGAAATAAGAATCTTTTTAAAAGAACACAATATCATGCCTTAGGCATTCACCGTGTGAGTTTGGGCACTATTTTATTCCCAAAAAGGTCTTACGATTTTTGGGCTTCTAGTTTTTTTTTTCCTTAATTTCACGTGGATTGAATTTTGATACTTTCATAGTCGAACAGAGCCCTTAAAATTTTTTTTTTAGCTGGCATAAAACATTTATGAAAGAAAGCAAGCACCATGCTAGCTTATACGAACACATCATTAATCTGTCACTTCCAACGCAACCACACACAGCAATTTAGCTTACAAAAATACCAAAAGCAGCATGCATTGTTAAATATTTTAGTCCATTGTCCTATAGCTACCTTATTTCCAATATGAATCTTGTATACTGCTTTAAAGATAAACTCTAAAGCCTACTTTAAAGCTTTAAACCAACAAAAAAGAGCATATAATTGATATAATAGTAAAAAATAGCTGCCTAATTAGTCTGCAATTACTCAACAGCAAGGCTGGGTTGGTTAGCCTGTTTCTTAGGCTTTAATGTTGTCAAGCCTTTTGTCAGCACAATTACATAATTTAAGCCTTACTTGTCTGTACCTGAAAGGTTCCCTTGGCATTTAGATTAAGAATCGATGATTAATTTCTCTCAGCATAGTGGATCTCCCCCATAATGATTGTTTCCTGCTAGCTTTAAAACAGTTTTGTGCCCTCCACCTTTTTTTTTTTAATTTATTGAGAAATGAAATTATAATCATTCAGTTTAGAGGTACAAAACAATACACTCATCTAATTAGTTAATAATCGCATCACAGACTTTTACTTTCATGACAGTGAAGCAGCTATTTTTAAAAATAATTTCTTTTACCAACTAAAGGGGATCGCTTTTGCTTTTATTTTTTATTTTCTATTTTGATTTGAAGTAAAACACAGTATTTGCCGTAGTTGAACACTCAAAACTGATTTATTTTGAGCGTTATTAAAAGCAAGTTAATCTGTTATAAAAAAAAATACATAAAAACATATAAAAAATAATACCGAATAAAAATATTATCAAAAATAGAAAAAAAGAAAAAAAAAACAAACATGAGACTAAAGTGACGGGTCCTAAAGTTTTGGATCCGTTGAGGTGCAGGTTATAGATTTGCTTGTGATCATCCATCCATCCCTCAATCCATGCATCTATCAATATACCTATCTATCCTTCTATGCGTGCATCTGGGTGTGTAAACCTCATCTATTAGTTATCTTCTAGACAAATTCTTATGGCCACTCCTGTTTTAAATCTGTAATTTCCTTGGGTTCTAAAATTGGGAGTGAGTGCTAAATTATTTTTCAATCCAAAACCTTAAGCCTTTTAATGAAGATTAATCATTTAATTTACTAGCATCAATTTGTTTTTTTAATTTGTTATTATAAAATAAAAAAAGAAATTGTCAATTGTCTTATTAATTTACTAGCATCATTTTAATGTTTACATTGTCAATTTGTCTTGTCAATTGTCAAATTATGTGATTGCTTCTCCACATACATCACTACTTTCTCCCTAATAAAAATTTTTCAAAATCATGAAATATCATACGCTTTGAACACATTAAACTTTTTGAACACTACTGGATTCTTCTCCTTTTAAATCTGGTGAATTTAGGATTGAAAAAATCAAAATTTGTAGTATCATAAATTACATGAATCGGTTGCAAATTATACATTAGAATAGCTTACTGTGAAAAATCTCCTTCTTCTTTGTTTTCTCCTTCTAAGGCTTGACAAAAGTACGAAAGTTTTAGAAGAGTTAGTTTAATTGTAAAATATAATCAATTTACATGAAAATAGAGATCGATGGCAACCGTATTGTAATATATTTGCAATCTTTGAAAAACTGAGGATGAATTTTCTCCAAATGCTTGCTTAACTAAAATATGAATTAGATCAATTTCTATTTAAAGCTACCTTACGCCCAAAATTTAATGTTAAAAAAAAAATCATCCCATTATTTCGAACCAAACAGATAATTTAATGTTAAAAAAAAAACATCATTCCATTATTGGAACCAAGCAGATGTTCAAATTGTGAAGTTGTACATCATGATTTCTAACAAAACTAGCTGTGTTTTAGAATTCAGCCAATTTCTGGACTCTCTTGCTTCTCACACTCCTCAGCAATTTCTGAAGCAGAATACAACCAGAAGTCAACATCACCAACATTCTTTCTTCCACAACCATTCTGCTGAGATTTCTTGCAATAAGCTATGGCTCCATGAATCGATTTCTCCACCTCGGAATTCACAATGCTAATGCTGAGACTGTTCGACTTAAAACTTGAGAAGGATGAAGAACTTGAAGATGAGGAAGAAGAAGTAGAAGAGGATGTGTTTTGCAATTTCTGTTCAGTTACAGCATGGGAAAATGACCGCTTATGCCCACATCCTCCCTCACCTTTCATCTTCTCAGCATCAAAGATTCTCATGGCTCTATTTGCCCTGCTGGGAAAATGTCCAAATGGAGCTTTCCTTGTCAGCTTCTTGTGAGCAATGGAGCAATCATTGGCTTTGATGACTGCGCATGAATCATCAGAGCAGGTTGGTTTGGTGAACAGAGACTTGAGATAAGCCTTTGATCGCCTGAGCTTAAGACCTAACAAAGACTGACTTATCAGTTTCAACTTTTTCGACCATGAATGGCTGGTTTGGGATTGATGGAAGAAGCCGTGTTCAAGGTTGAGCTCTTGGCTGACGCAGCACGAAGTGGAAGGGGAGATGTTGCAGGACTCGAAGGGAGTGCTGGTGGTGGAAATGAGATGAAAGGAGTCATCAAAATTGGAATTTGAGATGGTGGAGGGATTTTGGGGATATTGAATGTGTGTCAGCTGAAGTGGGAGAAGTTTTCCATTGTGAAAGAGGTCATCAGCAGGCGAAGTGAATGAATCTTTCCCTCCGCGA